AACGATTAAGTATAAATACCAAGGTTTAGGTCCTTCAAAAGATATTCAATTTCTGCGTGATGATGTCTGTATCCAATGGAATAAGCGTGTGTTTCTGGATCCTCAACAAGATATACAGCGGTTTCATGAATATCATTATCGGGTCTATTATAAGAAAACGTCGCGTGAATAAAATTGAAACCTCAGCATGTTTTTTTCCCATGAATTTTATTTATTTATTTGTTTTTAAAAAAAAAAGAAATTGTACTTACTTGCTGTTATTACCCTCAAGAGATCTTCCTAGATATGTTTTATACTTCTTATTATATAACGCATAAAAGTTACCGTAATTTTCTAAAAAAATACACGTAAAATTTAGTTTGCGTTTATATTGAGCAGGATTTTAAAATGACGATGAACGAAAGTAAAATTTACAGATTCTCCAAAGCTGGGCGGGATCGGAGAAATTATATAGTTCTTTGGTAATTGATCCGTCCTCATTCATTGAAATGGCATGTTTGAAAGTATCAATGAATGCAAAATATCTATAAACTTCTCCATCATTTGGTTCACCTTCCGAATCGAATGAAATGTTATCAATATTAGGAAGTTTCCAACTAATTTTCACTATGTAATAAATAATAAAATTTTAATAATGTTTTATTAGCGGCGTTTAAAATTTAAGCGGTCGACAAAAATACTCTACCATATTTTCCCGATAAGGCAGGTTCCAGGCCATTAGGATTTTCTGCAGGAGAAGGACCGCCAAGACTTAATTCAGCAATATCACTTCCAATTCTAGAACACGATTGTTCAAAAACGTTCTCTCTTGACCAACCAGACAATTGATCAAAGTAATCAGAAATATACAAAGGGAAATTTGTTTCAATATCCTTAAGAGCATTGACAGGAGCATTGCCAACCTTCCAAGTTCCGTTTCCTACACTTGAAACAATATTGGCAATGGTTTTTCCGGTTTCCACGTAATGATTTGAAGGGGCATTTAAGACTGCAGAAAGTTCATTGGTAATAGAGGAGGCAAGTGAACTGATCCAATCTGCCGATACCGTATAAAGTGAAGATTCGTGTTTTGGTGGAGCAGTTTTTTTCGCAATATTCTCAAGTACTGATGATACAGTTTCTTTTGGAAGTTTACAAGTGATACAATCCGGTGCGTTTTGAGATAACCCTCCTCGAGTGTCTCTATCGAAAGGTTTTGGCGTTGACACTTGAATGGTCATGATGAATCGGTGATATTTTATATTTTATTTTAATTATTATTAAAGATGATTTGAATTTCGAAGATCTGAGAATGGGAAAATATCATCGTATTTATATCTGAGAAAAATCTGTAAAGGGAGGGTAAACATAAACGGAAAGTTATTCCGTAGAATGATCCATAAACAAATCAACGAATAGAATATAATCGACACCAAATTCCGATTCCAACTTCCTTTTTGTTGTTGGTTTTATTGTTGAATCAAATGTTTAAAATTATAATTTTAGATCAATTGTCAACAAAAACTTGAACTTTTCCCAGATATTGCCTTTTTCAGAAACGTGTTGCAGATCAACCCGTCAAAAACATAATAAACTAACTCAATAATTTATTTTTACTTTGTTTCTAAAGACTATAAGTTAGCCTTATATGTAGATTGATAAAAATTGAAGAAATCTCCCATTTAGTTTAGTTCTTTCTAAAATTAACATTGGCTTAATTTTTGTTTTCAATGAATCCACTTACAAAAATGGGCTTATAATTTACTGCGTCACAAAATCAAATTAGGATGATGCAATTTCAGGTAGACCATGGAATTTTTAATTTGCAAACAGCGAAATATCGGTTATTAATATTATTATGTTTATATGATAAATTACACCACACCGCTCATTGTATAAAGATTATTATTTGTATCAGAAAATAAATTAATATATTCAAAATCAATAATACCAAATTCTTCAATAAATAATGATGATAAGGCCCATAATCTCGTTTACGTTATATTTTAGAATAATAAAAATTAATCATTTTCATAACCCGTCAAAAAACGTAAGAAATATATATTTGAATTTCATCCGATGATAATGTTGAAAAAAAAAATCTATTAGATTTTGGACGTGGAAATTATAGCTGTATTAGGAAAAGATTTTATATCGAAGGCAAAGATTTAAAACATCCCACTCTTATTGTATAAATTTGTTCTTATTCCGCGACTAAAATTATTTTTTTTGTGCTTCATCTGGATTCTGCTGAATCTACTTAATAAGTTCAATGCACCACTAAAGAAATAAAACTTATTTTAATAAAATAACTAAAATAAAAAAAAAAAAGAAATAATTCACATACCTCATCACTGCCACCTAGTCTTTCATTATGACAGACGACTTCTTGAAATGTATCATTTCCAATAGCAAATTTTAAATCATGACTACGTAAAAATACTTGTTGATTATTAACATTATTTATACAAAGATTAATGGTATCATTTGATTTCAAATATTCTTGATAATTTTCTAATTTACTATTTTTAAACTTCCATTGAACATTTCGGTAACGGTGTGAAGGATTATTACAATTTACTAAAGTAATTAAGATATTAATATTAACCGTTTTGTAGAAAATAATAAAATTCAAGATAATAAATTCTAATTGTTACCTTCTATGTGCGAAGTTACTGGAGATTTATAATAATCATATAATTTTCCAAAAGTGTTACCAGAATTTTTGTGTTGTAAGCACATGTAATTAGTAATATCGGTATATGATGCTAATTCTTTTCCGCTCGTAAATGTGATTTTCCATAAAGCATTCGAATCTAGCAAATCATTGACAAATACCTAAATTTATTAAATTTAATTAAAAAAAAAAAAAGATTATCAAACATAACAAAACGTAAAAAAAGCTATACCAATTGAGTCCTGCTTCCAGTCGTATAACATAAATCCTTAATTGAACTTAAATATTTTCCTGTAGCAACATGTTTTAAAGTTACAATAGATCCATGTCTAATTAAATTTAATTCATCCATAACAATTTTCCCAAATTCTTGGATTAATTCACTTGAATTAACCTTCTTATAAACTTCATTTAAAATATAATCATTTGGAAGTGATAAATAAAGAAAATTCATTTGTTCTTGTGAATTATTGATTTCAGCATCACGACAGAGTCTACGAAATGTATTAATGAATTTTGAAGGTGCACCACCTTCTCTTATGGGAATGTATTTTAATGTTTGTAATTCTATTCTCATTTGTGCTTTAAAAATTGAAAATGAAATATCTTGTTTTAAGGCATTTGTAAGCTCTTCAAAATTGGTAATATTTTCAGGAATTTTAATTGAAGAATCGATCATCATTTTTGCAAATTTAAGGACTTCTTCATCTTTTGTAATTTGTTTAAGGAAGCAAGTTGCTTGAACTTGTTTCAACCATTCATTTGGATGAATACCTCCATCATATATTGGAAGCTCCATTTTGGAAGTTTGAAGGAAAAAAAAAGGTGATTTGCATTATTGCTAACTCAATTTATAAGTTATTGTATTGTGCGACAAGGAATAATATAAATAAGGAAGATTTTTTAAAATCATTTTGGTCTGTAATGTTTCATTTCTTCTGCCCAACACCTCTTTCGTTTCTTCGACCAATAAGCACCTGTATAAATTCTCAAAGCCATTGTAAAAACAGCTTTGGGTATAAATATATTGTTGTTGCGCCTAGTTCGGTCAAAATGATTTTTTTCAACGAAACAGTGAAAAGGTACCCAACCAAAAATTTACGTCTCAAGAGAATTTTTTAATCATATAAAATCAATCATATTACCATATGGGTTGCGAAGAGCAAAGGATAAAGAGGAAAACGTTCGGCGGAAAGGAGTTAGACACGGTGTTACATCCATTGATCCACTTGTTGTCGGAAAACTTTGATAGAGCATACTGAAAAGCTCTTAACTTGCGATTTAAGTACGTACTTCTTTTACGGCACAATTGAAGAAAATATAGGTCGATAATATAGTAATTTATTCATTACTTTCATAATATTTGACAATCATTACTCTTGATCTCATATATTCTATTTTATAGATGAATTTAAGGATTTAAGTGGTCTAGAGTGGAAGAATCTTTTAAGTACCTAAGTGCCTGCATGACAATCTATCATTTATGATAATCATGGCCAGTAGATCACAAATTTCCAGTTTCTTCAACGATGATGCCAATATGCTGAATACTGAAAATTCATCAATGCATCGTAAATAGGAAAGGAATTCTCCTTAGAGTATGTAATGTAAGCGCTTACAAGGCTTTTTTTTTGGTGCTCTTAAACAAAGATTTACAAATTTGACATTTTGTTTTTATCACGCAGTGATCGTTGCGTACAAAAAAAAGACATTTGCGATCTATCAAGGAGGAAGGTCCTTTGAAAATAGATTTGGTTTTAATCTTTACATGACATGGTACTTTTATTTCTCTGATCTTCAAGAATCAAGAAGCAAATCTTAATGATTTCGTTGGGTAAATGCAGAACTGCATTCGAAATGTGGGAAAATAGTCATCAATGTTGAATTCCAAAAGGCTGCTTTTGAGGAGATTTAATAAGCCAATGAATTCTTGGAAATTAGTTTATTTGCTTTATCATCCAAAAAAAAATTTATCTGTAGTCTTTCAGTCCCGTGTGTTAAAATTCTATATCATGAAAAACCAGTTATATACATTTTAGAAAATGTACAATAAAGCATTACTATAAAATAAATTTTCACAAAAAAAAAAAAAAAAAAGATTAAAATAAATAATCAGTATAAGTAGCGAGTAAGTATATTTTGTAGTGAATATACCTTTTTGAAGATGACCCAAATTTACGTAATCAAAATAGATTCGAAATGTTCGACACTTAACCCGATAATTATCTTCACCACACCCATGCCATTCATTAAAAGTCTGATAGCTATTTCTTTTCTTTTCGAAAATTAATTTCACCTTGTACGAAAAGATGCTTCCTAAATTTATCATGAAATAGACGCATAGTCATGATTAGTCTTTCTATAAAAAATCAACCCATAACTGATATCCTTTCCTAAATAATTTAACAAATGATCAAATCTAGAAGAATTTTGATTATTGCGTTCCAGCTTTGATGTTAATACGTTTAATTCATAAAATTAATTGAGCTTTTGAATCATAAAAAAAAATTGAAACAAAAATACAAATAATTAAACAAACTAAAAAGAGGTAAATCAAATTATTAATTAAATATATATGATTTCTTCGATTCCTCATGATAATTCCTTGTCTATTTCTTGATCGTAACTGCTCAAGATTAAGGTTTATTCCTCTCTCAATTCTCCTAAATCAAATATAAAAAAAGAAAAATTTCAGAGTAAATACTTCATTCACACATTTATAACGCGTCTTATAGGAAACCGTACTTTAAGTAGTACATATTTAACAAGTAATCAATGATAAGAAGTTATTTTAACTCATGCCCTTTCAATCGTACTAATAATGTTTTTTTTTCTTTTTATTAAGGCCAAGGTCATTAAACAATTCCGCGTAATAATAATTACATGAAATAAATCACTTCGACACGAAAATAGAAAAAATTAAAAAAACCAAACATTTAACCTTAAATGTAGTATTTTAATTCCTTGCCTTAATTGAAATTCTTCTAATTCTTCATAAGTTTCATTATCATAAAATGGTGCATTAAAAATTCTTTGCATTTTGAAAATTTTTAAAAAAGTAAATGTATAAAAAGAAAAATATATTTCGCAAAACGCGCTTTTCATCAAGATCGATTCTGATTGGCTAAAATAAGAAATCTTTTGTTTCACGAAAGATTTTTTGTTATAGACGTAATCTTATGGGATAAAACTCATGTTCGGTTCATATGATTTACTATGTCTCATAACTTAATTTTAATAGCATTTGCTCGCTCATCCATAAAAAAAAAAAAAAGAGAGAGAGACCTTTATATACGGACACGTTAAACATGTTAACGTAAAGATGAATTGTTGGACCGCTGCATACCATATAATTCAAGCGTTCTCCTTGACATTGAATAATAACAAAATTGTCTAATAAAATTTATCCTACCATTAATGAACTTGATTAAGTAAATGAAACGGCCACTGAAAATATAAGTTAAGAGTGAATGGGAAGAAAATATTTTCTAATTTTTGCTTCTAAATTTATTAATTGATCTGAAATTAATAGATGGAATTTATTATCATAAAAATCATTATATATAAACGGAATAAAATGTTAAACGATCATAGAAGCATAGAATATATGTGTATTAATACTGCATTTAATGGTATGGAGTAGCAGGAAAGAACTCTCATTTTATGTGTTGTCGCTCTAACTCATTTTGAAATTTTAGCCATGTGAACGAATTTATTAATAATTAAAAGAAAAAACAATAACTTCATTGATTAGCTAAAATATGCATATAAGATATTTACCGAAACAATAAATAGTAATATACCTCCCACTTACAACATAGCAATATTATTCATAACCTGAAAAAATGGCTCAAAAAAATTGACACTGAATTTTGGTTTTTCCTTTGACAATTTATATCAGAAAATTCGGCACCATTTTCCGTTCTTCTAAAATAATTATAGCACTTTTTTTTTGCAATCTCCTCAATTCCTGTCAGGTGCTTTATTAATATCTGGTGGTCCATGGCATAATTATAACATCTTCCAGCCAAAGGACCGAAATATTCTTTCTGAAAAATTTGTTACTCTACTATTTATGAAAAATGTCGGGGTAAAACTTGCCCCGACTGCGACTTTCCAATTTCCTTATTAACGATTGCAGACATTTGTTGGTGTGGGATATGCTACCATATTTCTGCTAACGCATTTCATCATTATATATTTTACACGGGTATTATATGATTTTCGGTCGTACGGTAGTGCGACCTGGGAATTATCAATGTTTTTTTTTTTTATTTATTGTGAAAATTCTTTTTTACAATACAAGAAATAATCTATTACTTTTATGAATATTAAATTAATTTGTGTTTCAAGTTACTATAATTAATCGATTTAAAAAAAATTCGATATGAAAGCAATTAATTTAAATTTTGATAATTAACGTTAAGAACCCAGAAGAGAATCATATGGGTATCAATGTCTCCAAAGTCGAAGATGATGAGCAACCGAAGAATTTGGTTTAAAATTATTATATTTTATAATATAAACTTTTATTTCTGCTTTATAAGCTCAATGCACCACTAAAAATAGAAAAACGTATTAAAAATGGTAAATAATTAAAAAATTACAATAAATAATTCATACATACCTCATCATTACCTCCTAACCTTTCATTATGGCAGACAACTTCTTGAAAAGTATCTTTATTAATAGTAAACCGAATATCATGACTCCGTAAATATATTCGTCGAATACTACTCTTAGTAGCACTAAGATTAATAATATCATTCGATCTCAAATATCCTTGATAATTTTCTAATTTATTATGATTAAACTTCCATTGATTTTGTGAATAACAACTTACTAAATTAAATAAAAATATCAATATTAAGCCATTTAAAATATTAGATAATAAAAAATAATAATTACCTTCCGTGTGCTGAGTTACCGGAGATTTATAATAACCACCATAAATTCCAAGAAAGATATTAGAATTTTTGTGTTTTAAATATATATTGGTATCGGCGTAAGAAGCTAGTTTTTGATCGCTCGTAAATGTGATTTTCCATAAAGCATCCGAATCAAGCAAATCTTTTACAAAAACCTAAATTTATTAAAAGTTTAATCATCAAAATTATAAAAAAAAATTTTATCTAATGTAATAAAACATCAATAAAGAAAACGTACTAATTGAGCCTCACTTCCAGTCGTATAATTTAATCCACGAATTGAACTTAAATATTTTCCTGTAGCAACATGTTTTAAAGCTATAATAGATCCTTTTCTAATTAAATCACCATAATGATACTTAATAATTCTCTCAAATTCTTTGATTAATTCATTTGTTGAATTAACATCCCTCATCTTATAAGATCCATCTAAAACATTTTCATCTGGTAGTGATAAATAAAGATATCTCTTCTGTTCTTCTATATCATTAATCTCAGCATTATAACATAATTTTCGAAAATCCAAAATAAATTTTGAAGTTTCATCACCCTCACTCTCAGGAATATATTTTAATGATTGTAATTTCTTTTTATTTTTTTCCTTAAATATCGTAAAGGAAATGTCCTCTTTAAGCGCATCACGAAGTTTTTCAAAACTATCAATTCCACTTGGAAGTTGAATGCTAACATCAACTAATGATAAAGCTTTTGAACAATCAAGTTTGAAATGATTTTGGATATCATTTATCCATTCATCTGGATGAACGTTTCCATTATACTTTGAATTATTCATAATTTTTTTTTTTTTAAACAAATTTCAATAGAGGGAAAAAGTGTACTATTTAGTTAAATTTTCTGATTTTAACGCCAAATTTGACATGAGCAACATTACATGTGGTTCAAGTTGATCATTTACCAATTTTGTGTCTTACTCCTCCAATTTTGATTTGACCCAAATTCGATATTCAAGACAATTAAAAATTTGCAAATAATCATCATTGCCAAAGAAATTTAGGATAACGAGCAATAGCAAACATTGTAAAGTTTATTGATGAAAAGAAAAATCGAATTTATATAAAAATTCATTTTTTGCACTGGTAAACATCCTCCGATTTACAAATCCAAATCATTTCATCTGGAATAATGCCTTTAAAAATATTTAATGAGAAAGATTATCATGTAAGGTAATCGAAAAGAAAAACAATGATCATTAATTTTTTTTAAAAAAAAATAAATCCCGAATTTCACAGGTGGTGCATTGATTTTTGAGTTAATCAATTGGAATTATTATCTGCAGAGATGAAATTATATGCTATATAATTAAATGGATTAATTGATTGAATAGGATTTTATTTACATGCTTATCAAATCAGAGGATGGCAAATTAAAGAGAAATTATTTATACATCAATGAGTTGAATTATGGGAACTAATAAAGAAATCTATTGAAAATGAATCGAATGAAATTATCTTAAAGGATTGTCAATTTCTGATATCGTATTTCAAGTGATGACTTTATTTAAAAAAGGTTAATTTCCCCGCTTCCGCAGCTTGTCATTTTGAATATCACATGTGAAACTGTGAATAGGTATGCTGAATAAACTTGTTTATTTTATATCTCTTTTATTCCCTCGAACCATCTATTGCACAAGTTCTATACACCACTACAAGAAAAGTGAAATATTATTTAAAATTAACGAATATAATAATAACAAGTGGTAAAAATTTTAATAAATACCTCATCATGTCCTCCAATCCTTTCATCATGCGTAAAAACCTCTTGATGATTTTCATTGTTAATTGTACAAGTAACATCTTGACTACGTAAAATTCTTCTATTAAAACGATTTTGTAGATAAATGATATCTTGAGAAGCTACGAATTCCTTTTTAGCAATATTAGAAGTATCCCTCTGATTAATAATCCAATCATTCTGCCGGCTTAAGCATACTTTGTAATGATAATAAAAATTAGAAAAAAATATTTATAATAAAAAGTAAAAAATTTAAAATTAGTTTACCCGAATTTTCTGCATTAAGGAAACCACACTCATGGTTCATATGTTTTGCCTGTAAAAATATTCCCTTTCCATAATTAATTAGAGATCCTGGAAGATAACTATCATAAAGAATATTCCACAATACATTATATGAAAGTGCAGGATTATCGGCATAAACCTACATCAAAGAAAGGGATACAAGATAATTAAATTTTAATATTAACTAAATATAAATGCAAAATATTTATAAACCTCATTATTTGTTCCGTTTATAAAATATGATAAATATTTTCCAGTAGCCATATGCTTCAGTTTAACAATAGAACCCGCTTTAATGAGATTAAAATTGCTTGAAACAACGATATTAAAAAGTCGAATTAATTCATCCATAGATGTAACCTTTTTATATTCTTCGCGATCACAATAATAATAGCTTTGGACACTTTGAAAAAGATATTGTTTAAGTTCTTCGATATCATTAATTTCAGCTCCAAAACAAAGCATCCTAAATTCCGCAATAAATTTGGAAGTATTTCCACATTCTTTTTCAGAATAATATCTTAAAAATTGTAATTTCCTTTTGCAAGTATCTTTGAACACCGTAAAAGATATATCTGCCTTGAGGGCATTAATAAGTTCGTCAAAAGTTTTTAAAACGCTTGGAATTTTAATGATTATGGTGTTTATCATATTTTTACAAAACTCTAATTGATCTGGTGTACTATATATTTGGTTTAGTGAACAATACGTTCGAGCTTGTTTGACCCAAAGTTCAGGATGGACATTTCCATCGTATCTTTGTAAAGTTTCCATTATCTTTTTTTTTTGGTAAAAATGGAAATAAGAATGAGATTGAATTTGTTGCATTTGCATTGCGGGTAAATTTAAAATATCGTTTTGGATATATGAGATCAAAATATGGATTAATGAAAAACATCGCTGTCGGATAATCCGATCGGCACGCCACTAATTTAAAATGTAATATAAAAAACTCGTTTATTTAATTATTATTGTTGAAATTTATTAATTACAATATAACGAAGCCTCAAAAAAAAAAAAAAAAAATAAGAGAAAAGAGAGAGAGAGAGAGATTATAATAAAAATAGTAATAAATAAATAAAAATTTCAAGCCATCAAATCCTATCAAACGAAGTGTATTTATTAAGTGGCGCAATTATAAAGGCACGATTATTTGAAACATCACAAATTAAACTTGATTGATATTTTTACTTTTTACTTCATTTCAATTGAACTTTCTTTTTGCTTAGAGCGTAAATTCACAAGTCTTGATATATTAATTTAAATAATTTATTATTTCAATTCTCTAACAATAATAGCGATAGTGGGTAAAACTTATGGCTCAACGGAGATATGCTGCGATATATTTTATTGCAACTGCCTTTTGTTGTATTTGTATAGTTCAATTCTCATTGGTTTTTGTATGCCCCTCTCTTGGTAAAGCATTTTGTCGACTTTTTTCAATATATATATATATAACCACTCATATTTATATTTTTTTTTATTAAATAAACCGTTAATCTCTTTCACTAAGAAATTTATAAATACATCATGTTCGTAAAATATCATCTTCCGATTCAAGAACCCATAGAAAAGATGTAAGTACCTCGTAATTTTTTCTTTCGTTTCATATGTAAAACCTACAACTTTCTCAACTTCATTTCTTTCATTTACGAATAACATGACATGAAGGTACCTTTCGCTAACGTTCGGCCATGTTGGTAAGAAGATCCTATAAAGAAAAGCTTTTAAAGTTATCGTTTGAAGTTATTTGTTTGTTAATTTTTGCGTTCATCATGAAAATTTTTTTTTTTTAGTTTTACATTTATTATTGTTCTTTTGCTGTTGCTTTGGCAACCGAAAGCAGCTTGACCTGGAGTTTAGGTATTTGGTATTGCCGTTTTTAAATCTTTATCTCGATTAATAAATAAAAAAAAAATATATTATATTGTTTTTTAGTATCGCAACAGTATTATGGCTTGTTATCCCAAGTAAATGAAACTTTTTTTTGTAAAAAAAAAAAATATACGTATAAAGTTTTCATTCTCATTTATACCAATCCTCCTCTTTCATATTTTATTTTATTTTGTATAAAAAGCTATTTACACTTATTATACAGCACATGAGTTAGGAGATATTCCGTTCCTTTGTCCGACCGATTACCCTTATACAAACTCAATGCTTTTGCAATTATGTCAATTAAGGGTAGCCAATTTATTTTGTATGTGGTTGATGTTTGTTATCACATTATTGGCTACCATAATAATGTGTATCCCCGAAGAATCTTACAAAAGGTTTGTTGGGGATGAATGATAAAATACGATGTTTAATGGGTCTAACGAGAAGGAAATCTCGTGTGAAAATGGCAAGAACGAGAAATCGTGTCAAAATAGAATGTTGATACGAATTAAATAGAACTTATGTTTTATGGACAATTAAATTTTTATTTGATTTTCAAATGTTAACATTTCTTTGAAATTTTTTAAATAAATCATTTCTTATATATTTTAATTGTAATTCAAAAAAAGAACTGTTATAGATAAATAAATAAATATATTATACAAAAAAAAAATAATAATAATAATAATTCTCACATACACAATCTAAATATACATATTTAAGTTTTAAAAGACAAATTCCTATCTCTTTCCATTGTCCAAACGAACCAACATTGCTCCAACATCACTACCACATTTGCTATTCTGCCTCGGTCTCCTTTGTACCTGATTAACGATTCGCTTCTTCTCTCTGATACCATTAAATTCCACGCGTAAAATGAAATTTTCTCCTTCTACCCTTACAAAAGTCATAATGAATATTATCGTGATAAATCTTATCCACATAAGAATAATATTTGAAGCTCTAACTTTACAAATAAGTTGCATCATTGTAGAGGGATATATGTATTCGGAGGGACAAAAGAACGGAATGTCACCTAATTCGTTGACGGTATAATATGTGTAAGTTGCTTATTCGCATAATTACAAAAGGATAAAATGGAAGAATTCGTTAATATAAGGGATTGAAATTGAATGTTTTATTTTTTTTTTTTTAATCGAAAAATTTCCTACTTGGAATTATTAACCAAAGGACTCCCATCGATCTTTTTTTTTTTTTAAAAAAAAAAAAAATTAATTAATTTCAAATTCAAATTCAAATGAGATTATTGAAAAAGAAAATGTTTCTTACATGAACGCACATCGTAATATCTTGGTATCAACCAAACAAAATCCAAAACAAACAAAACATTGCAACACTAGTAAAGATGAAAAAATATTGTTAGATCGATTCTACGTGACTTTTCAATCTCCCACCCCAAAAAAATAAGTCTGCGTCAATTGAAATTTTTTTTTTTCACCAATCTGATATAATGAAAGCGCTATATATCTATCAAGGTACAATTTGTTAAACATGAAATGATAATTGAATGCTTAAAAATAAGAGATATTATTCAAATCATATGTTGCTTACGAATATTCTACCGGACCGTTAAGATTGAGACCATTTCCATTGAATAATTGAAATTTCCATATTTCTATCAAAAAAAAAAATGTCGCAGTTGTTTATAAAATAATAGCATAACAAAATAAAATAAATTACATACCAAGAACTGGGCAAAAAATTAATAAGAGAACATGAACAAACATTAATGAACAGAATGGGATTGCATTACTTGTCATTTTATTTGAATGTTCAATAGACAATTATTTCTTAAAAAAAAAAAAAAAAAAAAAAAAAATATAATATAAAATTTTAAACAGATTCTATATTATATTCTTATTAAATGAATTAAAATTTATGACTCTTGAATTATTTCATTATTAGAAATTTGATATTGTTAAAACTTAAATTTCGCACATATCGAATCCAAAAAAAAAATAAAATAAAATAAAAAAATAAATACATGGCGAAGTTTTAACCATATCCCCTTTGCTTTGCGAATATTTGCGAATAAACAAACAAAGCGCCACCAAAAGTTCGATTGTCTTAAGCCGCCTTTTCCCCTCGCTATAATGATTTGCTGCGCAAATCCGGAAAGATCTAATCAATTGAAATAATTAGCCACATAAAACTCCGACGACTTTACATACATAACGGATTTCTGGAAACAAAAACAATCGTTGGACTGATAATAAAATTTTTGGTGCATCTCTTAATTCATTACTTGTTTATAACTGGTGTTGGGCTCTCTCTATCTTTTTATTTTTTTAAAAAAAGAGAAAATATCTTTAAATTTTAATGAGCGTCAACTCAGTCTTACAGACACAAAATACTAAATAATTATTTAATAATTACAAACAACAAATAAAATAAAGAAAAATAATTTTTATTTACCTTAATATTTTTAGTTGCAGTCGCAGCAATGTTTTAACAAAGTTAAAAGAATATGAATTGAATCACGGTTCTCTCTTATGCAAAATTTATTACCTATGGAATTGAAACAAGTCTAAAATAAATATCTTTTAGAATTCAAAAAAAAATTATTCTACGGGCTTGTTTTATTTGTCAAACAAATTAAAGTTACAAGTTACAAACAAAAATGTCAGATGAGAAATATTACTATGAAAAAGTATTTACTAATGAAGAAATCCGGATGCACGTCATAAATTCAAAAATGAAATTTCCCGAAGGGAAATCGAAAGTTCAAATCTGTTTACGGAAAACCTGGGATATAGGTTACCGTCGTAGTTCGGGGAGACATGTTTTTTGCAAATTATACAAACCTAAATGACATTACCCGAATCATGGAGATGCGATTGGATATTTACAAGTTTTTCGTGTAATTTAAAGTAAAAAAAAGCTAAATCTCGTGAGATTTAGTTTGCTGAGTATACCAAAACAAGTTTTTCGGTAGTTTTTATATTAACCATCCAATAGTAAATCGGCACAAGCCTAAAAGAATTATGAGCCTCAATTCTTATCCAATGACATTTTTCAAAATTTGGAAATGTAGATTTAGATCCGTTACATGAGTTGTTATTCCCGGTCCGGTTAACGGTTTACAAGTATTATTTCTTTTGTGACCAATCAAAAAATTGTTCTCTCAGGAATATAATTAAAAAAAAAAAATTGGTTCTGCTGTTTCTTTGAAAAGCTATAAAATAATTATCAAATTCTAACTAACAAAATTTCTACAATTTTATGCGCATATACGTCGTGCTTTTTTTTTTTACAGTTCCGAATTATATAAATTTATTTGATACATTTATTAAAAAAAAGAATAATAATTTTCAAAATCAAAAAAAAAATTTACAAAGTAAATCGATAATTTCAACTCTCTTTTCCTCCAATATTAATTACCCTTTCCTTATTTCATCGTCTTCAATATCTATACCTTCAAGAACGGTTTTGATGTTAAGTTCTTTCTTTTCTCTCTTTAGTTCATCTTCCGTAGGCAAAATTCCAGAAAAGGCGGCCAGTAAAAAAACAATATTTAAGCATGTATACATCCACATGAAAATAAAATTGGTAGCCCTTATAATGCATGCCAAACGAAGTTTTGGAATTGGGTATGGATAATCTGACGGACAACTAAACGGTATATCCCCAATATCGTCCCTTGTATAATGAGTATAAACAACTTGAATTGGGTAAGGTTAAAGAAAATATTTTAGTAATAACTCAAAATTGGTAAACAAATAGGTCGAAATAATCCACCTGAGATGGTAGTCCAAACAACCGACAAGATGCTTTTTTTTTAATATAAAAAAAAAAGTGAAGAAAAGAAAAAGAAAACACATAAATAAGAAAACAATAATTATAAAGAAACATTAAGAATTATTAAACTCACAATAATTTTTGTTTTAGTGCATTGGGGGTTAATCCTGTTTGTATGCAACAACCACAACAATTTGTTGTAATTATCCACCCTATAAAATGAGATAAGTGAGAATAAAATAATAAAAGTAATATAATGAAAGGATGACTTACATGGAATAAAACTTGCAATTAAGAAATAACTTTTGATAAAATAAGTTAGAAATGGTATTTTTAATAAATAATCACGGATCATATAATTTCAATACTCACGTCAGTTCGACTGCGTTATTCATTTTTACTGCATCTGCGCTCCTGACAAATATAAAAACAATAATTTTCGCGAATTCTGGATAAAGAAAAATAAACCCTCAAATTAGTGTGGACTTTTGATAAAACGATTGTTCCAATAATGCGATGATTAGAAGTTACCGGCTAAAGGAGCCAACATAACCAACATTAACCAAAAAATAACTAATCCGCCTAATATATATCTAGATTCTTTCTTGTACTTCTTCAACCTCAATAGCTTTAGCCTTTTGTCCATATTAAAAAGTGTTTTCGAAAGAAAAAAAGAAAGGCAATTATTTGTACATTTATCAATATAAAATATCAATAAAATATTACCAAGCCTCTATGTACGAATTCAAGAAATTGTCTGGTTCATCACAACATAAGTATGTATAATAAATTGAAGAAAATTTTATGAATTGTATTTAATTTCAGTAGGCTTAGCGCTTCAGCCGCATTAAACGTACTTATAGCAAGTGTTTTTGAGAGCAAGTTAATTTATTTAAATTATATAAATCTGGCCGTAACAAATGTTTTTAAAACAGAAATTACTGCGCAGCAGTTCATGAATAGATAACTTTTTTTTCTTTTTGTCTTTTCTTTTTTTTGGATATATACACATTCAAATAACTTTATATCAAAATACAATGGACAAATTTTGATAAATAAATAATAATCTCACAGATTTTTTCATTTTGAATTCGCGCGGGAATATTTTTCTATTTCGATTTTCCCTCATCGCTACTACCTTTATCGCTCTTATCGCTCCCTGCTATGCTCCCTCCTTTCTTCCTACGACTGCCTGGTTTGAGACGCTCGCTCTTCCTGATACTTGAAGTTCTAGATAGATCCTTTTTAACACTAAATGTACAAGTAAGTTAATTTGAGTACTAATTTCTTTATCTACAATTTCATTATTAACTTACACGATTGATGGAACAGGACTATGGCCAGGGCTTTGCTCGGTTGGTACATTAACATTCTCTTCTTGTTGTTCTTGTTGTTGTCCACCTAATTCAATTTTACTAAATTGATGCTGTTCTCCACCTTTACTATCAGTTCCAAGTGGAGGTTGTGTGATAGGTGATAAATATCTCTGCGTATTTTCATCATCTTTATCATCATAGAGAATTTTTGGTATTGATCTTTCAACAAATTTACCTCCACCATTTTCGTTAAATGAATACATTTCAAACACAAATGACAAAATATTCATGATCAAGAAGAATGCAAAAGTCCACATTAGCACTAAATTTATTGCGCGTACTCGACATGCATTTTGAACTTGTGCGGAATAATTGGAATCTTTTGGACATGTAAATGGTATATCTCCTAATTCATGAATCGTAAAAATCGTGTACGAAACTATTATAGAGGAATTATGAGCGTTTTGAATACAAGAATCATGTTAAAAGAGAATGATGGACAATTGGAGTAACTCGCCTGCAATCCCTGTCCAAATTAACAAAAATACCAGCAAGGCAATCTTTATTGTTGTTTGAGAGACATCATCTGCCCAATTGCATTTACATACATATACCAGGATTAGAACACCTGAAAGAGAAGTCATGGCACGTGATCAATTATAATACACATGCTACAAGATAATTAAAGTTCTCTCTATATTACTTACTAGGTGCAATTAACGAGAGAACCAAGTAGCTGTAATCGCAAACTTGCTTAATTATACAACTTGAACGAATTAAGGATTGAATGGAATGGAATATAAGAAATTTCGACCTACGTGTATTCAACATTCGTATCATAAACAAGTTTTTCGTTTGTTCTGTTAAAATACTCAAGCTTGAGAATTTCTATAAAACAATTTTTTTTATTTTTTTTTTAGCAAATAGAATAGCATAAACATTCGCTCCTTTGAAAAGAAAACGTACCAAAAACGGGACAAGCAAAAATAAGAATAATAAACGGTACACCAAAGAGTACGCTGACGAGTTTCCTTGAAAAGCTCGTCTCGGACATTATGGATGTTGTTTAGTGTTCAGCAAATGATGCATTAACTAAAAATTTAAATTTTCACGTTAGAAAAAAAAAAATGTAAGTCGCAACATGAATGGGCAAGTTACGAATTAATTTAATAATTATGTCACATGGTTTATCCGTTAAATTAACGATATTTATAAACATATCCTACAATGAATTACTCCATCATTTGCTAAGCCTTATACGAGGCTGATATAGTTGACATGGTTTCTAAGCCTCGTATGCAAACGCTAATTGTTAAAAAGGCATTGAACAGCTTTTTGGGGTATTTGACTATAAGTTCACCCACCTTTAACTGTGGTTTTGAATTCAAGATTCATTTAATAAAAAAAAGTATTATTCGCCAGTCAGTTTAATTTCAAAAGATAAAAAATTTCTTTTTTTATACGTGGCAAAGCTTTCGGGCTGTGATAAACTTGATTTAAGCCTTGAAAATCCTTGCTCACGTGATATGTCCGGCATTACTGCGGATATTTAACAAAACTAATCTCTGGAGTTGTAAAACTTATCGGGCCCGATTATAAAATTTAAAAGATTTCTTCGATCAAATTTTTAAAAATGCATCATTTTTTAAAAATAAAATAATTCCTCGAATATTTAAATTTAGAAAAGAAAAGCACTTCGAACGTACATTTGGCTTGTATAATATGTTGAATCGTGACAAAATATGATTGATGTATTTTATCTTTTTTTGCAACTCAGCCAATTGAACGAAAAGTTCTTTTGTTTTTAATTTCTAAATATTTATGTCTTGAAAAATTAATCATAATAAATAATGGAAATATCATGCGGCCTGTGACTTTAAGGCTCATTATAAATCAAAAAAAAGAATTTCATCAATTCCAAAGTTTAGAAATATCTTCCTCCAAATTAGGACATTATTAAAGAATTGGATTCTTCGATTTAAAAATAAAATTCTTTATCAATAATAATACAAAACGGAATGGCAGGCAGAACTTATTTTTATTTTTGTTACATAATTTGTGTTGGTATTATTACAATGCCTTTGATAGTTATTTGTCCTGCACTCGGTTAGTGCCTTTTCTTGATCCAACGTCGCTATTTGATTCGTTTGCAATTAGAAATAAATTAATTCATAAATAAAATCTTGCAGAATATTGGAAATTTGAGCTCTTTACGAGTCATAATCTTACCTTAAATGAACCCATAGAATACATGCAAGTATCACGGAATCATAAAATATGTTTTATTATTTAAACTTTATTTATGGTATTTTTTGATTTTTTATAACAGGTACTTAATCTTTACCTTGTTGAACTTTGGTATGTAAAAAAAGCATTGTGGAAACTTTTTTCTATCTTTTTTTTTTGTATTAAATAATTTGCTTCATTCTTCAGCCCTGTACATCCTTTTCTGTTTAAGCTGTGGTCTTTGCAATAGGCGACCAACTTGGGAATTCTCGTATGAATCCTTTTTTTATTGTATCCACGTGACTTGTTCATTGTCAAACGCTAAAATTTTTATTTCAATTAAAGTATCGCATCGTTTCTTTGGCTTATTATCCCAAGTAAAACCTATTCCCATCATTCAAACTTTTTATAAAAATTTTACTAACATTAATTTTTATAAAATATGTACAAGTTATATATACCTATTTTACTTTAGATGAATTAAGAGAATTACCATTCTCATGCCCATCCGATTTTGATTATCCGGACAATTCACGTCTCGCATGTAAAGTTAGAACCGCCAATTTAATTTGCATGTGGATAATGTTATTTGCTACAATACTTGCGGCATTATTTGTAATTTGTATTCCTGAGGGAGATTATTATAAATTGACAAAGAGATCCAAAGTTCATGAAACCAGAAATTTTGGTTTATATGAAGATGGTGGTAGCACGCAACTTATTAGCAAGCATTATGACCTAAACACCGGTGCTGATGATAGTCAAGGGTCCGAAAAGAGCAAGGCGGATTTGTGATTCAATGATTCAATCCTTATTTTCCAAAAAAAAAAATAAAAATAAAAATAAATGTCGACAATATAATTATTCTGTTGTTATAGTTGGCATTATCTAATTCTTTTCATGCATGAATATCAAGTGTACTCTAACAAGAAATAAATTTCTAATCGGTGCCTTTATATTTATATTATTTTTCGTATTTTTTTTTTTTATTAATTCTGAAATAGATCACACTTTCTTGACCAAAATCACTTGTGTTGCGAATTTTAAATGCAAAATTTATAAAATGAAACAGTAATGGATTAGTAATTCCTTTAAAGATCCAGTAAAATTTATTCTTGATAAGCCCAACTTTACATTAAATAGCAGTTATTAGCATTAGACTTTTATATAAAGCATGCATTTCGTTGATAATATTTATTTATATTTTTCCTTCATGAAATTATCAATACGAAAAAAAAAATGCACCTTAAAAAGCCTATAACTCATCAACCATGATCTTATCCTAAGATCTTGAGAATAATTTTTTTTTTTAAAAAAAAATATATATATTGATACCAAGTTTTGTAATTATCTAATGGCTCCGTATGTGTCACTCTCGGAATTTGACTGCGCCCGAAATTTGATCGCCGCGCGTCATTGACGACTTTACATTTATTTTTATAATTAATTTTTTTTTTATCGTAAAATTTGCATAAAAATGTCGTGCGAATTCTCCGTTTAATGATGATAATTCGAATCTACATATTCATCTGATTCATTAGCAAGAAGATATAACAACCTCAAAGTCAATGCATCAGATTATTGCCATATTTAGATTATGTATATTATGTTTTCAAGCAAGCTTTCCTTACGCCAAAATACAACATACAGTATATTTCACAATAGTAGTTACAGTACATCACTCACTTAAATTTACAGTCATTATGCTTATCAATGAACAATATAACTTTTTATTTCTATTATTTATTTTCTTTCTAACTGGTTTTAAAATAGATTGATGCAATCATTAACTGATAAAAATAAAGTTTGGAATTATTTATAAAAGGAAATTTACATAAAAAACACAGTATAGAACTTTGATTTATCGAATATATTTCCTATTGTCGCTAATTTAACGAAATCAACAAGATAAAAAAAAATATGTCTCAATTAGTTCTCGTCGCCTCAGCAATGTCCGCTATGCTTAAGACTCCCGTAAAAACATATGATGAATGCGTAGCTAATGGATATGAGATTTTACCTGCACAAATTTTGGATATAAATACCGTTCATTCCTTATTGTTGTTTAGACTTGGAACCGAGGAAAGAAACACTGAATCCCGTGAACCTAGTGAAAGACCCATACAAATTTTTGTTATAACTCTTTCAGGAGAAAGTCGGGCAATATTCGTCTCCCAAATAGATCTGTCCTTGAATTTAAACATGATATTCAAAAAAAGCTAAAGCTAGGATATAATATCACGCAGATGCGTCTTGAATTTGCCGGTAAACAATTAGATGATCGTCGAACTCTAGCATCTTACAATATCCAACAGGGTATAATGTGTACATTCTATTTCGATTATCAGGAGGTTTTGATTTTTATGTTATCAATGAAGATTTTCTAGATCGTAAATATGATTATGACTTCACGAATATGAAAGATGAAGGTGCAACATTCATTCGTGGTAACTTACCATATAACAGACCTTATGGATGGAAAAGAATAGCACTCAATGTTTCGGTAAAGCATGGTTCTGATGATAAATGGTTAGGTTGTGTTGGAAATAGTTCTGATGAATGGCCAGTCTCTTACCATGGTACTAATAAAGAATATGCTGATTCTATTGCCGATAATGGTTGCCTACTTTGTAAAGGAACAAGATTTTTATATGGGGAAGGAATTTATTCAACTCCCAAGATTGAAGTAGCTGAAGATCCATATGCGGTTGAATTTGATAATTCAGGTGCCAAATATAAAGTTGTTTTTCAGAACAGAGTTAACCCTGCGGGGCTAATCAAGCACGATGATATTGCATATTGGGTTACACCAGATGAAAAGAATATTAGACCATATGGGTTATGCATAAAAAAACTTCAATAGGCGTTGTATGATAGGGTATTTAAGCAGCAAAAGAAATTTAAAAGCTTAGTTTTATCTTACACACATATACTTATTCTTATAATTAATAAATTCTCTCCCTATAGTCATGTTGCTATATTTCAAATGTATAATCATAAGTTTAAATAATTTCAACGTGAAAATTTTATTAAGCCGTCAAAAAACGGGTATTACAAGAACATGTATAGTATGGTTTTATAGTGAGCGATACGTATAAATGATATTTCTAGCATACGCTTCAAAATAGTATTTTATGCTTTATTTAAACTTTTTTATTTAATATATCTAATAAAAAGGAAGAATTTTACATTAAAAATTCCAAATAACCTTCCACCATTCAAGCTTTAGATTTTTATCTCTTATTTTGTGGAAATAGCTATTTTTTATTTTATTATTTAGGTAATAAACTTATTAAAATATTTTCATTTAAAAACGCGTGAAAGTTGAAAGAAAAAATGTCTAAAAAAAAAAAAAAAAAAGATCACGGAAGGCTTAAAATTTCTAGTTTGCAACTATATAAGAACATACCTTTCCAAGACAAAACTTATAAAAGTCAAACCGCACGAAAAAAAATTCTTTATATTATTAAATATCACGCGCTTGAAAAATAATCAATAGCCTTCCTATTATCATCCTCGGGTTTTGGCGCGCCCCGATTTGATCACCGCGGCTCTGATGAAGCAGAGATAGAAGAAGAAGAAAGAGAAGAAATAATAGATCAAATGGTAGCAATGATGGCTTTGGACAAGGTTCAATTGAAAAAAATTTGGACTATTGGAATTGGACTATTGGACTAGTCCACTCCAAGTCAAATTGCAATTGGACACTAATGGAATTAGACTAAGTCCACATTATTCCAATAAAATTTGGAATTGGATTGGACAAGTTCCAATAGTTCAATAGTTCAATTGTCCAAAAGGCCATCACTGAATGGGAGAAAGTGATGAAGGAGTGATAATAACACCAGTGATAATTATTAAAAAAAATTGGTAAATTTTTTTTCTTTTTCTTTTCCTTTTCTTAATATATTTAAAAATCAATTTTGCATTTAGATATGTAAATTAGCGATTTTTTCTTTACTTTTTCTTTTATATTTTATATTTTTAATAAAAGTTTTGTGTGATTTGTGTTAAATATTTAAAAAAAAAAAAATTATATTCATTAAATGTTAATTTCAGCATTTTAAAATTGATCAATCAAAATTAACTATGATAAAACAATATATTTACCCCAGTAGCACCAACATTTTTTTCACCCTCGTGTGATCAACTTGTCAATAATCCTTAAAAATAAAGTATAAAACTTTGGGCACAAATGTTATATATTTTAAACCTATGTATTATGTATATTTTTGTCCGCTCTACAAGTTTACTTAGATAATAAAAGTAGGTTTTGAACATGGATTTTGACTTTTAATATGAATGTTTCAAAATAATTAATTTTACAAAAATCAGCATTTAAAAGCTACTTTTATTCTTTAAATAATCTTGCAGAGCAGATAAAATTAGATATAAAGCATAAGTTTTAAAATTAAATTAAGTTTTTATTAATAAGTTAAAAAAACTTATTTTTCCCAATAAATTTTAATTACTATTTTTGGAAGTTGAGTAAATCACATGATTTTATCATATGATTGGTCGAAAAAACAAGAATAATAATTAGTCGAAAATAAACCTTACAGCTAATTTCATAATTCATAAACTACTAATAAATTGCGATTAAATATAACCTAAAATTATTAATGGTCTATGAATTATGAAATTTGCTATAAATCATTAAAAAATTTATTTAACTATTATAATTTATTACTAAAACACCAATCTTCATATTTAAATGTTAATAAAAAAATTTTTTAAAAAAAAATTTTTTTTATGATCAAATCGCAAATTCAAGAAGATTTTTAATAAGAGATAAAAGACTCTATTCTCTTAATATTACCTGTCTTTTCAATATTCTAATATCTATCACATACCCTTTCAGTTAATTCATCACAATAAAACTTTGACATTCAGCTCATTTTTGCTACTTATTTACACATTTTCTACAAATGATTTATACCTTTCATATACTTTAAACCTACTTTCTTCAAACATTTTCTGAAACATTCTCCATATATCAATGGTTAATAATTATTACAGTATAATTATTCATAAAAGATATGCTTGCATAACAATAAATATTTATTGTAAAATAAGTAATAACAATCTAAAAAAATTAAACATGATACATCTTTCCCTTTTTTAAATTTATTCATTATAGTATAGGCTTCTTTAATCATTAAGTATTGAAATAGAAAAGAAACTTATGGATTTCCTTGAGAATATCATCACCAACATCATATGCAGATACTTTTTTAATACGAAAGTTAAAGGCATCACTTTTAGATTAAAATATGATTATAATATAATTAAATCAAACAAATATCATTAAATACATAAAAATTCAGAATCATTATTTAATAATTAAATCATGTAAAGATGATATAATTCTCTTTAATTCATTATAAAAAGATTTTAGTAGATCTATAGATTTGACTTGTAAAAATAGGTGAAAATGTTAACAATTGTTGTATATTTTCTTTTAATTCATTTTTGTATAACAGGAACTATATATTGATTGATAGCATCCTGAATAAGACTTTTACAGCTAATTGTTATCCTTTTATACATCACTTAAATCAAAAGATTCTGAGTTTCTTTTCATGAATTCTTCACATCCAAGTTCTCACAACATGAATGACACAAAGGAGCATTTGACATTCTTGCTCATCAGTAAATATATCAGAAAAAATCATTTTAATACTTTGGCTTTGATGCTACTTTGATTTGAAAATATATAATAGGAAGATTAATGGTAATTCTTATTATAGATTATCTTTAATACTTTTACAATTGTGTTTCCATTCTTATTACTCACAAAAAATAAGCATCTACATCCTAGCATTCATAAATATCATAAATATAAAGAGTAAAAGACGTTAATTATATTAGTTGGATTTATATGTTAAATCTATAAATATTAACCACCTATGACACTCAAGTTTCTTTATTTGTTTTGAATATGCAAATATAATGCCTTTAATAGATGATTGAAGAACTTGATATTCTTTAACAAGATACCCTTACTCTATTAAATAAGAAACAAATTCTAAAATATTCAATTTAAATTGTAATTTTTAATAAAATGAGACTTTATAGGATTACAAACTTTATATTTAATGTTTGTTACTTTCTTATACTTTAGCTCTTGTTAAAGATGAGGGACAAAACTCAAAAAAGGCAATTAATAAACAGCCGAAACTATATTAAAACATAGTGAGGGATACGACGAAACCCCGAAACCCAAAATTAGCCGAAACTATATTAAAAACATAGTAAGGGATATGACGAAATTATTTTGAGGGAGTTTCGGCTGGCATCTTTAGCTCTTGTACATATTTATCAAGACCTAACTTCTTTATTGCATATTTTTTAACAGCTGCTGTAATTGCTAAAAGCAAGTAATTTTTAACAGCTTTGTTTTTGACTAAATTTCTAATGATCTTGATTATTTTATCCTATCAATTTCTATTAAAGAATGTGTATAATTTGGAGAGTTTTTATATCATTCTACTTGAACAATTTGTAAAACAAATATTCAAGAAATTTTGATTTTTGCATAATATAAATCAGATGGTCATGTCTTAGTTATTCTTCATTTTTCATTAGGAATATTTTCCTTTTGTCAGATACTTGATTTCCATGCTTACTAAAATGGCAAATGAAAGTTTTTAAGTATCTCTATTTACATAATTATATGAATCCCATTTCATCCAAAAATTTGTTATTAATAACCACTAATTATCATCAAAATCCTCTTATTGAAATTTCCAAAATATAATAAACATTAAAAAGACATTTTTATTTTATATCTGGTATAAGGTTTGATATTGATATTATAACTGAAAAAAGTGTAAAGGTAATAGCTAAAAAGGTGACAGAAAACATTAAAATAAAGTGTGAAGAGTTTTGAAATTTTTAAAATATTGCATTCTTTTCTTTAAAATAAGCCATTCATAAAAAATTTGTGAATTTTTAACCTTTGAATGAAAGCAATTATTTTTTTTTATTTTTTATTATTATTATTATTATTATATTTCATTTTTAGAATTTTAATATATTATTTTCTTTTTTAACACTTTCTATCCTTTTTCTTCAATATCAAATTTCTTTCTTCCATTTAGCTTGGTCTGTATTTTCGTAAAAAAAAGTAATATCTTGCTCAAAAATATTTTTTCTATAAATAATATGCTAAAATTTGTTATGCAGTGTTAGCCGGAGGGCTGGAAATAAAACTTAGACGATATAATTCAGTCCGTCGAATTAATCACGATAACTTTATCACAATCACGCCTGTATGAAGACACGGCAAAAGGT